TGATCCCGACCCCCCACAAGTTATCAAATTAAACTTAAAAAGTAATGAAAGTGAAGGTCATAGTTTAAGATGAAGTTGTGACCTTGAAATGAAGGTCAAGGTCACCAAACCTGGCTTGGACCTTTTGCAGACTGTAATGAACCTAGGTACCAAGTATGAAAAGAATCTAGTCAACGGTTTTTAAGATATTCCAATTCGTACGTAGGTAAAATTATGAGAGGTTTTCAACAACTATATTGTGGCGTCACAGCTAAGGGAGATAACTGCATAACTCTTTAGCATACCACTTGGGATAGCTATGACCAGAGACCATATAATAGATATTATATGGTCTCCGCTATGACTTAGTTAAAATTTTCATTTCCATTCTGTATGTGTATGTGTTATCAACAGGAAAAGGCAACCATGATCCAGAGGGAATGTATACGACATAGTTATATATTTTTTACCATTACATGTGTCTTTAAAGCGTCATTTATGCCATTATAATGTTCTCTGATCCATTTCATCTTACAGCATTAATTTCATTCAATGTTTTGAAGCTCATATGATAACATGAAAAATGTTACTGTTCCAGTTCATTTTGAAGTGGAAATTATTTTTGCTGAAGTGTTCCAACCAATATAGTCATTTTGGTTACAAACAGCCTGATTTTTAATAACTATCAATTTAGATGTTATATATAAGTGTATGCACACACACCCACACCAAACATACGTAATTTGTGAATTCTGTTCTGACGAATAAGAAATATCTATTTCGATAAGAAACACTATATAAATTATCTCATTTCACTCTGAGAGAAGAATGGCATTATTTGTTCATTTTTTAATAATGTTATCTGCATAAAAGAAGGCATTATAAAAAAAGTGAAACAAACTTCCGTATACTACCATTTCACCAACATTGCGATATTGACCATGGAATAATGTTAAGTTCAGTTTGATTTCAATGTCATAATACTCGAGGTTCCTCATTAAAACCTACCATACAAACTGACAGCTCAACTTACAGTCTGTTTGATTAGAAAGTGTCCCCATGAATTGCTAGATATATTCAGTTTAGAAAAGTAGTTAATAAATATTACGAGGCAAGATGTTCATGAATAACCTATACCCAAACACCTTTTCAGCTATTAGAAATTGTCATGCATCACAGAAAAAGTTGTTTAACGAAATTGGTCTCCAACAGGCAACTGTTGCATCGCTTGTTATTTCCATCAGCTCTAACTGTGATGCCACAAATAACGAAGTCACAAATCATTCAGTTAGTTGTGATAAAAAATGAAGTTTACTAAGTTTTGAAAATACATGTGTTCATGATATATGTTTGTGAAGATCAGAATCTGTACTTACCTTGCTTCCCACTGCATTAAACATCAGACAGCTAAGGCAAACTGCAGTGTTCACGAATAGCGTCTGACCCTCTGACAAATCCGGGCAGATTCGCCAATGGTCAGACAGAAGTCTACAACCCGCCGGCCCCAGTGTCTGACTGTATATTTCACAATGACTTTGACTGAAGTTCTTTTATGTGACATGTGACACTTGCTTGCTGTTTATAAATCTTATGTTTGTTAATAATTTCAATGCCAATTATAAGAAATGTTAAATCTGTAATGTGTGTTTTATTTTATTCTATGGGTCCTGTGAATTTTCAATGGGTCAGACAGACATCTGAAACTTACAGGACCCATTGTCCTGTTACTTTGAAACACCATTCGTGAACACTGAAACTGGATGCAAAACTATGAAAGGTTTGTATGGTATTGTGCCATTTAAAGAGAGAGACAGAGGGAGAGAGAGAGGGAGAGAGAGAGTGGGAGGGAGGGAGGGAGGGAGAGAGAGAAAATGGGAGGGAGAGAAAGAAAGGGGAGAGAGAGAGGGAGAGAAAAAGACAGGGAGAGAGAGACAGGGGAAAGAGACAGAGAGAGGGAGAAAGAGACAGAGAGAGGGGAAAGAGTAAGAGAGGGAGAGAGAGAGAGCTCACTATGTTGTGATTACCCAATAAAAATCATGCCATCTCAGTATAGTATAAATATGCATTTACCATTGACAACTCACATCGGTCTATCGCAAACCTCCCACACAGACCAATATATTCACACCACTCAAACAACCATCCCCAAATCAAGAGAGCAATTGTTGCCAAGCTTGCAAGACGTGCAAAAACAATTTGTAGCCCTGACCTACTGCAACAAGAAGTAGACCACCTGAAGACAACATTCATCACATACAATGGGTATCCTAAGAACCTTGTAGAAACCACTATAAAGAAAACACTACAAGATCAAGTTCAGCGTCCTCCGAAACCTGAACCATCTCTCATCCGCATCAACATCCCGTATGTTGGGCCCATCAGCCACCAAGTCAGCAGACTCCTAAAGAAAATGGCAAGCATTGACAGCACTTTCTCTTCTGGCAAAACCCTTAAAACTTTGCTACGTGCAAATGGTAAGGGGTGCAATCACGCTATATCCAACCCTAAAGGCTGTGTGTATCAACTGAAATGTGACTGTGGTGACATCTACATTGGTAAGACAGGCAGACCAGTAGCTACACATGTGAAAGAACATAAAACTTCAGTGGACAAATCAGATCAGAAATCTGCAGTTTCCCAACACATTATGAATAATCCCGATCATGAAATTGTAGGGCTGCACAATATAACCGGTTTACCGGTATTTACCGGTTCAGACATGAAAATGATACGTATTGCAATACGCTGATCGAAAACCGGTATTTTGACACGCAGTCGCAAAATACCGTAACACTCGAAAATCTTCGGATATTTCCGTTTTTGAATTGTTCTTTTCCCTGTTTCATTAGTGCCAAATGTTACTTACATTTTTATTTTGTCATGATTAAAAGTTTTTATAAAAGGTTAATCAATAATAGTGATTTTGTTGTGTTTTTGCAATACCCACCCCTATGAAATTGACAGGGAAACTGAAGTCCTCGCAAAAAACATCAGTGACTGGCGAAAACGCAAGTTGATTGAAGCTATCTTCATCAAACACACAAAACCAGCAATAAACAGGGATCAGGGTGTGTACCTCCCAAATGCATGGTACATAAAACCATAAGACAATAATACCCTACCCTCGTCACTGTTCCCATGAATAAACCATAATTTCCATGTATACACTGCTATTACTTTTCATTCTATACATTTCTAAATAAGTCTCTGTACATTTCTAAATAAATCAACAATTTTGTATAATAAGTATCGACATTTTATATATTCATTATAACATGTATTCTATTAGCCCTGTTAGCTGTATCTATTGACATCCACATGTATTGCGTCGTCATAGCATTGTGACTAGTGTTGGGAATTGGTTAAAATCCCATAATTGCTGTTTGGCTCATTACAACAGATCAATCATTGGTTAGCGTCATTTATGAAATTTTCCTGGTTATTTTAGTTTGCGCAAAAACAAAAAGAAAAAACCATGTAGTTCTTTGATTTTGTTTTTGCAAATTGCACATCTTTAAAGGATGACTAGTATGTTAGGAACACTAATTTCTTGGAGTCCTTAAGATAAATTCAATCATGACTTGGAATGAGCTTGTAGTGCTTATGAAATGTAACAGACAAAACCAACCTTGTGAAAAATATTGTTAATGCAAAATGTTTTTCAGAATTGTTTGTGTTCGATTATGAGAAAACATGATCGATTGCTTGGTCGTTTAGTCACTGCGACCAATCTTCGATTATTTCAATTAATGGGACCACCACTAATTGTGACGTCATAAGCATTGTGATGTCACGGGCAGAGTAAACAGTTACAGTTCAGTTGTACCTGATGATGGGACCAGAACAAGCCCTGAAACGTTGTACTCGAGAATAAAAAGAAGATATAACCCAGAAAAATCACTATGTTCATCAAATACCATCTTCTAAAATGCCAATCAAGCATGAAACAATAGTGATCAGTGGACAGGGCTCACTCAGTTGATTAAGTAATGAAAGTTGTCTACTTTGAAAACATTACAGTTCGCTATGTTGCAGTTGACCAGGGCTTGCTGCGAGCCATGACCAGGCTACTCACTGTCCTGGAGTACACAGATTCAGTATCCCACTTACTTGGTGTTTGGGAACAATGAACAACAGAGGGAACATGAACGATGTGACTGTTTAATATGATCTGCCATGACAGTATAATATCATGATAAATGATACAGATGTGTTCCATCTATATGTGATATTTATGAAAATGAATGAATACTTGAGTTTTGTTGTTTGTTATGATTCACCCCTCCTGTGAGGCTAGGGCTTTGGTGACTGTGTTCTTTCATGAGTGATCCATGTAAAGGCTTTTGATTTCTTTTGGGATAATATTATCTAATTAAAATAATAAAACTCTTACGCTCTCTGCCTTTTTTTTCTTTTTTGTTGCAAACAATGAGTTCATATTCCATTCTTTGGAGGTGGATAAGGAATGATTGCAATAACATAAGTTGTCCAGAAAGTAAGGGAATGTAACTCTAATTACTAATTCTTCTGAGGTCAGAGTCATTCATTAATAGTTGTAAAGAAATATCATGTGTTAGTGAAGCAGACGACCCTCAGCTCCATGCAGTGGTGGGCCATGGACTTGTTTGGGCAGAGTATGGTGGTTTTTATGCTCCCTTAACAGTACTTTAACATTCTACAAACACATTCTCATTGTGTATTGAGGTGACAATACATTTCAAGGAAACATAGTTTGCATTATTTTGGCACTTAGATCTTGTTTTGTCTACTTTTATGTGAGTGAATAAACCAACTATAACTGGCAGATACAAGAGTTATCCCCCTTCACGCAGATACCAGTTAATATTCTCAACACCTTTCAAAGTCATTTTTAACGCAATGCATGTGTATTTTGATACTTTTTTTTACATGAAACATTTTTATAATATTAGATTTACTACATGTTCTCAGATTATTTATCAGCAAGCAACATTACACATTCGTCTAGGATCCCTACTGTACGGTACAGATACTAGATCTACCTGGTCCTGCTGCAACTTTCTTAGTTGTAATTCCCTTGTCTCCTTTTGTTTTCGCTGTAGTCGTTGCAGAAGGTTTAGTTTGGAAAGTCTTTTTGGGCGGCATCGTCACTTGCGGGGACGTGTCAATAAAATATGATTTATATTTGAATATACGTCAAAATTGAACTGAATCATGCCAGTACCCTGACGCCATGATCACAACATAGCAGGCGCGCACTTGGCGATACGGTGTCAACCGATCCTGATTGGTTGAAACTGGTTGCATAGTCAGTACATAAAATTCGTCCCCGGACGATGTTCAACTGCGCTTCACAGTTGCAACAAAATAAGTTTTGTGATTTTTTTCCTTTTAAGAGCTTTTTCAGTAAAATCCAAATTATATCGAAAATTCATAAATTTGATATCACACTTTCGACATTAGACATATCTACAGTATATAAACAACGTGATTTAAAAAAATAATTATAACATGACAAAGTCATCAATTTCATATCCCCCGCAATGTCACATATGGGACAACTGTACGAAAGAACAGTCAATGATTCTAGAAAAATTAGACGCTAGAACGATTTGTGGAGCCGTGAGAGGAACTAGTCATGAAAAAATCTACAAGGAGACCAATTTCATACCATTAGTTAAGCGTAGAGAAATTAAGAAACTTACTTTATTCTACAAAATGAATAATTACGGAAGCGCTGAAGGGACCTGATGAACTATAATTTGTCTTGAGCGCACGAGTTAGTATGTTGAGTGCACAAGTTAGTATGTTGAGCGCACAAGTTAGTATGTTGAGCGCACAAGTTAGTATGTTGAGCGCACAAGTTAGTATGTTGAGTGCACAAGTTAACATCTTGAGCACTCAAGTTAGTTTTCTTGAGCGCTCAGTTTCGTGTTTAGCATCTAATGGCATTAATGGAACGCACGTTTGCTTGACTGATCGCTAAAATGAACAAACTAATAATCCTTTTTGGAAGATTTCAAAGGATGAAAAGTCGGAGTTAACTATAGGTGTTTATGATGAGTTTATGTAAAAGTATGCAAATGATTAATGAACATTGAACATTGAACAATGTTCATCGTCTTTATGCTTGTCAATACTATTCTTTGTAATTGATTTTACTACTTTCCGCTTTATTACATAAAGAAGGCCCAGGTGTAATGTAATAATAAAAATTAAAATATAAACATGACTAGTGGCCGTATGCACATGTCGGGCGTAGCTAACGTCAGGCGTAACACACTACGTCGGGCTTAGCAGCTTAGATGCCAAATTAAAAAAATCGTGGCAGAGTGCTTTTATCGGTGCACGACAAAAAGCTGAGAAATTGACAGTTTTTTACGGCGTAACAAAATTTTGGACAACATGTAGCAGTGTCTATTTCTAAAACCGCCGAGGTAGTCGCACTTATATTTATACCAACGGATAGGAAATTAAATATTCTACATTTCTGTGTACTTTAATAGCCGTACGCAGATCTAGGACAACAAGGGCGCAATTCTCGCACTACGTTCACTTTTCAAACCTTTTGAAAATGTGCGGCTGAAAAAACCCCTCGGCATACAGTGCCGCCACTACGCCTGCTGGGAAGGTGGCGTAAATGTAGAGCGCTACGACTGGCGTAACTTTAACTACGTCTAATATGTGCATACCGGTTTACGTTACGTCCAGGCGCACATTTTACTTACGCCCGGACTAGATTTTACGCTCGACATGTGCATACGGCCATAGGAGTTTATTGCAGGAATGAATAGTGGTTTTACTGACTTCTAATATTGGTACGAAGTATTATGAACACTAGCGTAAAGCTCGGATACCTTGTTTTGTGCTACAGCTTTATTATGTATATAGAGTATTACATGAACATGAAAAATGTAAACATGGAGTGTTATACCTAATTATGTTAATTATAAAACTAATGTCTGATGTATTGGAAGTAAAGTCGACCACTTTCAGGGAACTATAGTCTGTAGTCTTGGTTTGCATGTATCAGTAATGTTTCCTAACGTGAGTACAATGGCAGTTTAACTCTGTACAATATCATATAAAACCCGCCTGATTTATTTGATCCATTAGTATGTGCACGTATAGCATATAAACCGACTTTATTTCTTACTAAAATACCGTGTTCCCCGTTTCACTTCTTCCGTATCAATCCCTTATGTATACGTATGTGTGTTGTAGTTTATTTAACATGTTTTAACAACACAGGAAGTTGAAGAATAAATACGTCGATGAAGACAGTGTCCTTGGAGAAATTGAACACCATTCGGGTCCAACAACGACCGTACAGTATCCTGTTTCACGATTAAACCGCATAGGGTACATTTTTGATGCATCAACGATAACCATGTCTTTGTTCCGATCGTCGAAGTTGTCCGCAATAAAGTATGGGTAGCCTCGTGGTTAAAGCGTCCGATCGTCACGCCTGGGTTTGATTTCCCATATGGGTACAATGTGTGCAGTCCATTTCTCGTGTTCCCCACCGTGATATTGCTGAAATATTGCCAAAAGCGGTGTAAACCGTACTCACTCACTCACTGTAACATCAGCAAATCTGGTATCTGGTGCGAAAGAGGGACATACACCTCAGAATACGCTTCGTATGGCGTACTATACTATACCATGATTTTTGACAAGAAGATGTGTTATGTGTTTCTATTGGAACCCAAGACCGAAATAAGCATGAATCAGCTCGCGTTTCCGCTCTTCCTTGCTTCCACATGAACTGCTTATGAAGCAGTGTATCTCAATATACGAAGTTGAGCGCTCAACATACTAACGTGTGCGCTCAAGATATTAACTTGTGCGCTCAAGATACTAACTTGTGCGCTCAAGATAACTAACTTGTGCGCTCAATATATTAACTTGTGCACTCAAGATAACTAACTTGTGCGCTCAAGATAAATTATATTTCATCAGGTCCCTTCAGCGCTTCCGTAAGTAATAACCTTACTCCAAACTACTTATCTGATTTAATTCCAGAACATGTTTCCTTACAATTTGAGAAATACTGATAGTATTTGTACAATTCGTTGTCACACAGACTCGTATGCACACTCCTTTTACCAGACACCGTACGTTTATGGAACAATTTACCAACCGAAATAATTAACTCACAATCAGTAAATCCGTTCAAAACACGATTACAGACCAAACAAGGAAATATTCTCTTTGATAAAAACTTTGGATCTAGATTTTGTCAAATAATCCATGCTCGCCACAGAGTGGGTTGTAGTGACTTGAACACTCATTGTTTTGATAGACTTATTTTTTCAAATAATCCGAATTGTGGTTTCTACATATGTTAATTCGTAAAAAATGGTTGGGTATTGGTGAACAAGCTTTACAGCTTATATTTACACCGCCCCCATACAACATATAATATAAAATTTAAATGAAACATGTGTCGTCATCGATATTGACTATCTTATAAATAATACATGTATGTATATATGTATATATATTACACACATACACACACATATATATATACACATAATATACATGCATATACACACATAATACATATATATATACATATATAAACATATACATATACACATACATATACATACACACATACACATACACACATATAAACTGAGTCAAAAAAGAAACTTCACAAAATGTAATTTGAAAAATAATGAATAATTTTACTCTGATGATACATCTATGTAGCCGAAATGGGATCCCTATCTTTCGACTCTAGAAAAACGTTAGCAAAACCCACTCAAACCCATCCATTCGTCGTGCAAATGACGTTAGTGCTAAATCAGGTTTTGCACGTGCAGTCGATCACGTGATCTTCGCATCGAAGTTTTCTTCATATGCAGGTGTTTGCATTGGCCTCAAGAATTGAAAAAACACTTTGAAACCAAAGTTCTAACGGTACTTGAAATGCCACGATTGTCAAATGTGCAACGTGAACGTGCCGTTGGCATGTTGCAAGCGGGAAGATCAGTTATTGACGTCGCAAGAGCAATGGGATGCAGCCGTCATACTGTGTATGACTTGCGAGGTCGTCTACAACAAACTGGCACCACTTCTGATCGCCCATGGTCGGGTCGTCCACGTGTGACGTCACGAGCAGAAGACCGTCAAATCGTCCTACGTCACCTACGTGACAGATTTCTGCCGGCTACACGAACCAGGGCTGAGATGTTTAGAGGTCGACTGTCCTCACAGACCATCCGAAATCGGTTGCGGGCTGCCAATCTCCATTCTCGACGCCCATATCGTGGGCCAACATTGACGCCGTTTCATCAACGTCAACGTCTGCTGTGGGCCCAACGTCACATCCGATGGTTCCAGAGAGACTGGAATCGAGTCGTCTTTAGCGATGAATCCAGGTTTACCCTCAGATTCACGGACGGCAGGCATAGAGTCTGGAGACGACGTCGTGAACGGTATGCCCAATGTTGTGTACAGGAAGTCGACAGATTCGGGGGCGGAAGTTGCATGGTGTGGGATGCTTTCTGTGGGAACAACCGTTCCCGACTTCTGGTCATCCGTGGAAACCTCACAGCTGCTGCTTACCGCGACCAGGTGCTCACCCCTGAACTCGTTCCTTTCATGGCGGCTCATGGCCCAGGTCTACAGTTCCAGCATGATAATGCTTGGCCGCATACCGCGATGTTGACACGAAATTTCCTTCAAAACGCTGGAATCAACGTCATGGACTGGCCATCGAGGTCCCCTGACCTTAATCCAATAGAGCACCTTTGGGATGCACTTGGGAGAAGGCTTCGTGGTCTTAGGAACCAACCAGAATTTGCAGGAACTTGGCGCTCCCTTGCAAGAGCAATGGCGCAGAATCCCCAACCACGTGTTCACAAGCATCAGGCAGTCGATGAGGAGACGGTGTTTGGCAGTGGTGAATGCGCGGGGCGGCCATACACGATATTGAACTGAGACATTTCGCATTTTTATTCTTGTGACTTGACATTCTGTATACCCATGTTTTGGAACGGCGGTGTAGCCTAATGGAACTGATTATGGCACTGTCATTGTATCGAGTACATCACACAGATCTCAGCAATGAAATAATAACAATTTAACCATCTTACCATCTCTTGTTCTTTTATAGTGCCCTGAAGAAAGAATGTGAAGTTTCTTTTTTGACTCAGTATATATTCAGGACACTATTTAAATGGAAAAATCAGTCATTTTATGTTTTCTCTAAAGAGTGTTAAATTCTGACATAGAAGCC